GCTGGTCACGCTTCTTTTGATGCAGCCCAGGATACGGTTGGTTTCTGGGCTCAAGCGCACACTGAAGCCTGATCATGTCGAGTTTCTCATCAATCACCCCCCCCAAGTCCTTCTCCGCAGGGCTGCTCTGAATCTCTTCTCCCCCCAGCCTGTAGCTATGCATATAGAAAATATCATATGCATGCATTTATATAATTTTGTAGAAAATATTACATATAAAATATTATATATAAAAACATATATGAACATGTCCATGAATATAGATGTATATATTGACATACATGTATTCCTACAGTGCAGTCTGTGGTGCATAAAATGGAGTGCACAAATAATGTGTGTTTATACATATCATCAGTCTTTCTCTGTCTTACATGTACACATAAGGAAACAAGCAAACAGGCTTAGAAGACATACCCAAAACTGTGGCACTTAATAAGCTTGCTTCACTTTGCAACTAGCTAACACTGTAACCATAATCAAATGCTTTGGTGGCTGAAACACACAGCTTTCATTGTGAGACAAAAGAAGCTATTGTCAGCTAATGCATGACCAGCAGCTCCAGTGTGAGTTGGTTCTTAGAGAAATGAATGCCTGGGAACCACAGATCTCACCCAATACACCCAAGATGTTTCTGTTTCTCTCTTGGTTTCCCAAGGGAACAAGGCATATGAAACTACTGTGCACTTGTCTGTCAGTCAGTCCCTTTGTGGGAAACATCAAACAAAGTAGGCAGAAGAGTGAAGATCTCAGAAGTATTGTGATTCCTGCTATAACAAGTTAAATAAAATAGCAAGGCACGGAAGAAGCCCACCACACTGCCCCCGCCAAAAGCTCGTACACATCTGATGGGCAGCCAACACATCCAACACGTCTGCAGCATGGCCTGACCATAACAGCAGCATTAAGGGATTTTGAACAGTTGCGCCATTTGGAAACAAGCAGCCATGGAAGAGGGACAGCTGAAGGCATCACAGATGGGGAATAGCTGTTATTACACTGCTGTAGTGGGGTTTTGTGGGGGCATTGGACATAAATGTATAGGAAACCAAGCCTCATCAGCTTGTGCAACTGCTTGTTTGTCTGGTGACACTGAAAGAGAAAGAGCAACACTCGTAGCCAGTGAACTTGCCTGGCAGTTTGTGATGCATTAGAAAGCCTTTGTTTTAATGGATGTTTACAAGAAGATTAGCCCTGGGACTAAGGCAATGGACTAGCCTTTAGTTTCAGGTCCCTGGCTCCCTGTGCACTTGGGCAAATCCTGTATTTACAAAAGAACTTTTGTGGTTACTGTTTAAATACACTGAGGATCTAGATCCTCAAAGGCTTTCATGGATCCAGCCCTTTGGCTGGCTTTTCCTCACTTCTCCAGAGACAGAACAAGGCCCTACTGTTCATTGCCTCTGATGAGAGTGAAAACTCCTCCAGCAGGAACTGGTGGCCACTGTACGTTTGTACAGTGCCCCATACAACAGGCCCAGGTATCTGCTGGGACCTGAAAGTGGTACCATCATCCAAGAATGCAACAATAACAGCATTGAGGAGATACCAGGATCTGAGCTGGTGCTAGACCCCTCTGCTGCAGCGCTCCAGGAAAAGGCTTGAGAAAGGATGGGAGCTAGGATGTTGAAATCCAGGCTAAGCCAACACAGTTTGACACACGTCCTGCTCATGGCAATCATCCTGTTGGACCTGTAGGCTGGGATAAGGAAGGAGGATGGGATTTTGAGGGTCAGCTCATGCTGATAAAAATGGCAAGACTCCAGCTAGCTCCAGTGACCATCACCATTAACCTCCTGTACAGACTTTACGTGAGTTGGTAGAGTACCTCAAGCTGCCTTGTTGGGGAGCCCCAGAAAGCAGATTATCCACTCTCTGAAGAAGTGAGAATGTAACCTATGAAGATGCCTTTGCATGGAGCACTGACTGGAATTTAAATCACCCTTTTGGTGTGTGTGCAACTGGAAACAGGGTGTAGTGCAGTTGCTCTATTTTCAACATGTTCACTTGGGTTGTTCTGTGGACACGTAATGCTCCAGTAAGACCACAGTATTCAGAAACACTGTGTCATCTTGTAAACTAAATCCTGGGATTTTTTTTACTCCTGTGTTTTTGCAGGAGTTTTAGGACAAGCAGTTTGTTAAAATGATGGAGATAGAGTGTTCTCATTAACTACAGGCACAGATCTATACACATACCTTTTCAAACTGTGACTTC